CAACAGCAGCCAAGAGCCACGCGGCCGTTTGCGAATAGCCAACGGTGTGACAATCCCACCGAGATCCTGCTGCCTTGTGTCGGTGTCCAGTGGGTGTCCTTGCTATAACGATGTGATAGCGGAGCACTTATTTGCTCTTTTGTTCACGCAAGGCATTTCCATCCCGAGGGGCGTACTGGAACATACTGGTGGACAGGCAGAAGTGCTCTTCAGGAACTTCAGCAACGAGCGCCGTCAAATCCATAAGGGTACCGCAATGACCTATTACGACGATGTAGACCAAGCCGGGAATTGTTTTGCCTTGCAACCAGATGACGTGGCTGTCCCCGCCTTGACAACTCTGTCGGTGGACATCTGCTCTACGCTACCGCCCTCTGTTAGGAAGCACCTGTTTGAACGTATATACCAGTTCGAAGACAGCTTTTCGCGTACGTCAAAGGTTCAGCAAACACCATTGACCAAGCACCGAATCATTACTGAAGACAACACGCGACCGATTCGGCAGAACCCCTACCGTGTGGCTCCGAAAGAGCGCGAGGAGATTCAAAAGCAAGTAAGTGCATAAAATGCTCGCGGATGACGCCATACAACCTTCGAAAACTCCTTGGGCATGGTTTTGATCAAGAAAAAAGACGGCGGCTTGCGCTTCTGTATTGATTATCGCAAGTTGAACCAAGTCACAAAGAAAGACGTCTATCCACTGCCCCGCATAGACGATTCACTCGATCGGCTCCGTCATGTGCGCTATTTCTATTCAATAGACCTCAGAAGCGGCTACTGGCAGATAGAAGTTGACGAGAGAGATCGTGAAAAAACGGCCTTCGTGACGCCCGATGGCCTATATGAATTTAAGGTGCTTCCTTTTGGGTTGTGCTCGGCGCCAGGCACTTTTCAGTGTCTTATGGACACCGTACTATCAGGCTTGAAGTGGCAAACGTGCTTGGTCTATCTGGACGATGTTATTGTATTCTCAGCAACATTCGAGGAACATCTCAGCCGTTTATTCACCGTCCTCCAAGCCATACGTTCGGCCGGCCTTACTTCAAAACCGGAAAAATGTCATTTTGGTTTTAACAAATTCAGCTTCCTAGGCCACGTCATCAGTCACGAGGTTGTTCGACCTGACCCGGCCAAAATGCACGTCGTAAAGCAATTTCCTGCACCACGTGGCGAAAAGGCCGTGAGACGCTTCTTAGGGTTGTGCGCCTATTACCGGCAATTTATCCAGGACTTATCGTCTATTGCGGCGCTATTGACACGACTCACACGGGAGGACGTCCCCTTCTTTTGGGGAGAACAACAGCAAATGGCATTCAGTGAACCACGACATGACTGCAAACACCTCCAGTCCTCGCGCACTTCGACCAGGAAGCCCCTACAGCACTGCACACTGACGCCAGCAATGTAGGTCTGGGTGCCGCTCTAGTGCAGTGGCAAGACGGCTGTGAAAGAGTAATAGCCTACGCCAGCAGAACTCTCTCTCGTACGGAGGAGAACTACTCGACTGCTGAGAAGGAGTGTCTCGCCGTGGTGTGGGAGCTCATCAAATGTCGTCCATATTTGTACGGCCTCTCTTTCAAGGTTGTTAGCGACCATCACTCTTTGTGCTGGCTCACCAACCTTACAGATCCATCTGGCTGTTAGGCTGGCTGGAGCCTAAGGCTTGCTTCAAGAGTGCGACATGACCATCGTCCATAAATCTGGGAAGCGGCGCACCGACGCCGACTGTCTCTCATGGTCACCAGTAGAGACTGTCGCTCCTGATAACGAAAACGTCGACGCGGCATTCTTGGGATTTGTCAACACGGCCACTATTGCAAGGGAGCAGCGCAGTGACCCCGAGCTGTAACCACTGATTGAATATTTAGAAGGAAGACGTAAGGAGGTGCCATGGTGATTTGACAGAGGACTGCCATCTTTTTGCTTGCGAAACCATGTTCATTATACGAAAAACTTCTCACCAACCGGCAACCCGCACTTGCTTGTCGTGCCTGCCTCTCTTCGAAAAGAAATTATGGAAGCGTGCCATGGTGAAGCAACTTCTGGTCATCTAGGCTACACCCGAACATTGTGCCGACTACGATGCAAGTACTACTGGCCAAAGTTACCCGCTGCTGTTAACCATCACATGTGAACTTGCACCGACTGCCAAAGACGCAAAGCACCTTCCAGCAAGCCAGCCGGTCATTTACATCTAGTCGAAGCACCAGCGAAGGCCGTTCACCGAGATTGGAATGGATTTCCTGGGTCCCTTTCCAACTTCCACAACAGGGAACAGATGGATAATCGTGGCCACTGATTACCTCTCCCGTTATGTGGAGACTAAAGATATGCAGTCCAGCACAGCAGCAGAAGCCGCTGAGTTCTTCATTGAAAATATCGTCCTTCAGCACGGCGCTCCGACAGCACTGATCACAGACAGAGGACCGGCCTTCACCGCAGAGCTTTTGGAGTCGGTTTTCAGACTCAGCGGTACAGCTCACCGGAGAACAACTGCATACCATCCGCAGACAAACGGACTGACGGAGCGCCTCAATAGGACCCTCACATACATGTCAGCACGTACGTTGACACGGAATATAAAAACTGGGATCAGATATTGCCGTACGTGGCCTTTGCCTATAATACCGCTCGACAAGAAACCAGTGGAATGACGCCGTTTAGTCTGATCTATGGTCGTGAAGTCACGACAACGTTGGGCGCCATGTTGCCGCATGAGTGTGACGACATCCATGTAGACGCCGAAGAGTTCACTCAGAGCGCCAAGGAAGCCAGACAGCCCGCGCGTGTGCGCATCTGTCATCAACAGCGTCAAGATGCACAATGGTATGACCCCCGACACAAATTTAATAGCTACACACCAGGCGACAAGGTCCGGGTTTGGATTCCGATACGTCGACGTGGACTGTCGGAAAAACTGCTGAGACGATACTTTGACCCATAAAGCGTCACGCGACGCTTGAACGACGTGAACTATGAAGTTGTTTCCGACACTGACTGTAGTTCTAAGCGCCAAAAGCCTTTACACTAAGTCGTGCACGTTGTGCGTATGAAACCGTATTTAACGAGTTGACGCGACCCCTTCATACGCCTGGTAGAGCGCCTAAGTTGCGCATTGGGACGATGCCTCTTTCCGAGGGAGGCGAAAGTCACGTGCTTGTCAATAAGAAAGACAATGGCAGTTGTGCATGTGCCATGAAGTAGAATGAATTTGACGAAAAAGAACTCTTTTGCGCGTTCTATTAAAAAGAACCGACCGGCTTCTGGTGTCTCAATCTCTGAAGCAAGACCTCTGTTTTAACGTCGTGACAATATGAATATATATTCATATGACCAGATCTCCACAAGTATGTTGCAGTGATGTGCACTTAACAAGGCGTAATTACATGAAATCGGCGTCTCTCATAATCATATGGTGGTTTTGGGACGTTAAACCCCACATATCATCATTACATGAAATTGCTAGCAACCATTAATTATGGTACGAAGACAATGACACTTCGTGTTTATATCCTATACTTTTGAAATATAGTCATCTTTTTAAGGCAATCCACACGAACATATAACTAAGTAGGCGGAAACCTCTGTTTGACGGGGTAACATACAATTTAGTATAGAACTGACCATTCTAGTCAGCACTATTACCTTACTAACTGGATAGTAAATTTCACTGAGCTTCATTTAACTTCCCTTACTAAGAGGCTAGTGCAGTTTGTGACAAGTGAATGGTTAGTGTTTAGCCGCGGCGCGGTGGTCTTGTGGTCAAGGCCCTCGGCTGCTGACCCACAGGTTGCGGGATCGAATCCAAGCTGCCGCGGCGGCGTTTTCGATGGAGGTAAAAATGCTGTGGCCCAATTTCTCAGCTCTAGGAGCATGTAAAAGAACCCAGGCGGTCGAAATTTCCGGAGTCCTACTCTACGGCGTCTTTGAAAATCATACGGTGCTTCCGGGGCGGTAAACACGACATATCAATCAATGGTTAGTAGTTATTTACTTAGTATGCTGACATTTCTTCTTGTATGCTTGTTGGTGTTTGGTAGCTATAGCAGTGCTTGGCGTGGATGCCTGGTGGCACATCTTTATTCTGGCGGTTAACAAGCGTTGTCATGATTTAGCCCTTGTAGAAGCGGACGCATACAACTGGCCACAGCAAAAGTGGCGGCAACACACACATAAGAAACCCTGGCACTTGATACGCACACATTCAAAGCGTCGTCGTTTGACTAGAGAAACACAAAGCTGTGCGTTCTGCAGTAAACGGTAACCTACGTAAGCACTCATACGTACCATGCATCATACTTCAGGAACTAGAGTGTCTAGCTCGAGCCATCAACAAGGCAAGGCATTACACTTCCTCCTGACGTTTCTCTTACTTCCCTTAAAGCTGTAACTACCCAAATACTCTCTGTTGGCACTCGTTGCTCACATGATTGACTTCATCGATTCTAGAAGGCGAAAGCATCTACCGAAAAGCAAGGTCACAGTGAAATAGAAAAGGAATTAAATTTTAAAGGAAGAATATTGTGTATCCTCATGAATAAGCCTGGTGACACAGGATGCATAGTGCTTAGCGCTAATCCTCGCGGACCCAGATGCCGGCTGTTAAATTTCCAGGTCATACAAATCAATTCAAATTCTTTTCTGTTCTTTCTTCTTTGCCTGTGTGTATTTCACCGACGTCACATCCGTGGCGGAAATGTCAGTGACGTTTTGATGAACGCCGGCATGATACCCGCTTTGTGATAAAAATAAACAATAAATAGAGTGAATCGCACACATTTTATAAAGTAGATGAGCGTGGTTTTTTGAAGGTGAGGCACACAGGCTTTGTGTGTGAGAGCAGGTGATGTGTTGAGATATTTTGCCCGTGCTGCTCTTTTAAGTACTTTAGAAATAGTTAACTTGATTATAACAACAGCATATTAGTCGTGTCTCATTCGTTGTCACTGTGATTGTACACCTCGCCGGTGACTCTCATACGTGTGCCTCTTGTTGTGCAGGGGAAAGTTCATCGTGTTCGCCGAAGGCGATATAACGCGACCGTCCGAGGAGAGCCGGATGTGGGAACAGAACAACTTCCATTTTGACGACGTCCTCAAAGCCATGCTGACGCTGTTTACAGTTTCCACCTTCGAAGGGTGGCCAGAGTAAGCAATTTCTTCGGCTCCACGCGTGTTTTTTGCTTTCCTTTTGATGTATTCGGCTTCCACCCTACAAAGCAATAGTTCGGGACGGGTACAAGAATTGTTGGTGTTGATACATAGTGAAACTTTTGGGAGGACAAAAAAGGTCGCGCTTCGTAATTTCACTTGTACGTGTTTTTTGCTTTTGTACGCTCCAGAAGTTCCACAATGTTTTGGAAGCTTTGCGATTGTTAAGACTATAGTGGTAACGTAGGAAGTTACGGTCACGGTAGTGTACAAAAGCCTATGCACTCCACGAATCATCACATTATGAACACTTCGGGGAACAAGTTGGCCTACTCAAGAGTTTCACCTTGAACAGTCGAGTTGCACCTAATTCACCAGTCATGACCGTTTATTTATTTATTTCTTATAATACTCTAGGGGCCCGGGGGCATTACAGTATGTTGACAGTGGCTGCCTAATCACACTGGCTGTGACAAGACGGCACTTTTTCAGGTAAAGCTTCACGCGCGAATAGCCCTTCTCAAGTTATATGTAATGCACTACCTTCTTTTGTGTGCTTTGCTGCATCGGCATGTCAAATGGCTCAGCTAGACCACAACACAGCACAGCTTCCCCCCCCCCCCCACCTGCCAATACAGACACATTCTTGTTCAGATCGGCATATAGTTGGCAGCACCGTTTCTGTGGCGTGTGGATAGGCAATCGGTGGCCCGTATACAGATACATGCAGCAGTGGTTTGTTGCGTGCAGTTTGAACCGATGTATAGTTGGTAAATAAAATTATTTAAATGAACTTTACTGGCGATATCTGCGCTCATATCTGCCGAATCGATGCGTGAAGACCATGGAACGTTAGTATTACTGGCGAGTCAAGCGCATTCAGCCTATTAAAGGAAGGCTGACCCTGGCTGACTGACTGAACATTTTAGCCCTAAATCGTGCTACTGCTGTGTTGATTGCACGTGTTTAGCTTATGTTCCACCTATACGCACTGCTGTAGCATGGATGAACTACCTATTTACTCCTCGTTCATTTGGATACAAAGAAAAGACAGACAAAAAAAGATCCTAGAAAGTCCGCACATCGGTATGATGAGTTCAGTACCATTTTCCGCTCGAATACGCTTGCGCAATTTGTTCTCCTTCTGTTCATCTTAAACTTTTGGACAGCCAATAGGTCGAGCTAGGAAAGCATATGTTTGAGAGCACTTAACGCTGCATCGACGTTTATTACGTATGCACATATTTTTGCACTACTAAAAGTAGGAAATGTTTGGAAGAGTTCAGCAGAAACCTGTCGTCAATTACGAGCATGACAGTGATACGACAAAATTCCGGTTACTCTATGTTATGAGCATAGTTTTTTTTATTGAACAAAAAATGGTCTTTGGCTTCTTTGAGTCAATAACAATGCCACTCAAACGCTAAAGGCAATGTAAAAATGTTGTGAGATTCGCTGTGAAATTATACAACATAAATGTAGGGCACGCCAACTGATTGAATTTTGAACCTCATAGTCTTTTAGAGTTCCTGCGTAAATTTCAACCCAAGGTAAAATTGCGCACGGCAAATTCGATTGAAGTACACATCAAGCACCAAAGTTGCACACTTTACAGTAAGACAGTAAGTTGAGCCAGTTGGTTAGGAATCCATCGTGAACTTACAGCGCGACACCAGAAAAAATACAGGACAGGGAAGGAGCAAAAAAGAAAGAAAAGACGGTGCCGTCTTTTCTTTCTCTTTTGCTCCTTCCCTGTCCTGTATTTTTTCTGGTGTTGCGCTGTAAGTAAGTTCACGATTGCACACTTTACTTAATAGTAATATTTCTCAGTAGTGATACCACGGCTAGATAAACACTACTAAGGCTCATCGCATAATCGATAAACTAGAGGGCCATAGTTATACACCTAAAAGGAACGCACTAGTACGTTGTTTATAGAGCCTAGTGTTTGTTTACAACCCAACCGAGTCGCTAAAGCGCTGCATTCACACACCCTTTAACAGTACTGTAGTGAGGAAGACAATTATATCGCCATAATAGCACGGATATGTTTTTTTTGTTCTTGTGACGGATGGTAGGCACCATGCGCTCGAAGGCGTTTTTGGCCGATTTTCTAACGCATCTCTTTCTATAGGATGAGGTACTGACGTGCCCCTCCTCTTCCGACTTCCGTGTAACAAAAATTAGGAGATCCCACACACAGTGGGAGTCGATGATATGCGAAGCACGAATGAGACAGGTTGATATGTCACTTTAAAATCAGCACAACGCAACGAGGTGGAAATAAATGATGCCATATATGACTTCCGTGTCATGATGATCATGCTTGTATGTGCCGTTTACCTTCGTCATCTATTCATGTCACGTGAAAACAAATTTATTATGAGTGAAGCTAGCCAAGCGGCCGCCAGTGCATCATGAGCGTCACATGCAGTAATGTTGTTACATGACACGCATCTCATGATTATCATATTTGCTCCAGTCACATACCTTCAACATCCATTCACGTACCGTAACACCAAGTTTGGTATATGTAACGCTATCGAAACGGCCGTGAGCGCATCATGAGTGTGTCATGTAGTTATGTTGTTACATGACATGCATGTCATGATTTTCACGTTAAGATCTGTCGTTTGTGTTCACCATGCAATCATGTCATACCATACCAGTTTTGCAACATGTCATTAGAACGAAACCAACGCAAGAGCAGCAGTAGCATGAAATATAGATCATGACATTCATGGCACACATTTCATGATTTTCATGGTATGACTTTTCAAATATCTTCTTCATACAGTCATGTTATGCCATAGCAAGTTTGGTATCAATACCATTAGCCAAACGGCCTAGAGAACTAAAAGTCGTAGGCAGCTAGATAGATAGGTAGATAGACAGACACACGGACAGACAGACAGATAGAAAGGCAGGCAGGCAGGCAGGCAGGCAGGCAGGCAGGCAGCTAGACCACAACACGGCACAGCTTCCCCCCCCCCCCCCACCTGCCAATACAGAGACATTCTTGTTGAGATCGGCATATAGTTGGCAGCACCGTTTCTGTGGCGTGTGGATAGGCTTCATCAGGCAGGCAGGCAACACAGCACAGCTCCCCCCCCCCCCCCACCTGCCAATACAGAGACATTCTTGTTGAGATCGGCATATAGTTGGCAGCACCGTTTCTGTGGCGTGTGGATAGGCTTCATCAGGCAGGCAGGCAGGCAGGCAGGCAGGCAGGCGGGCAGGCGGGCGGGCGGGCGGGCGAACGGGCGAACGGGCGGGCGGGCGGGCGGGCGGGCAGGCAGGCAGGCAGGCAGGCAGGCAGGCAGGCAGGCAGGCAGGCAGGCAGGCAGGCAGGCAGGCAGGCAGGCAGGCATATAGATAGATAGATAGATAGATAGATAGATAGATAGTAGATAGATAGATAGATAGATAGATAGATAGATAGATAGATAGATAGATAGATAGATAGATAGATAGATAGATAGATAGATAGATAGATAGATAGACAGACAGACAGACAGACAGACAGACAGACAGACAGACAGACAGACAGACAGACAGACAGACAGACAGACAGACAGACAGACAGACAGACAGACAGACAGACAGACAGACAGACAGACAGACAGACAGACAGACAGACAGACAGACAGACAGACAGACAGATAGATAGATAGATAGATAGATAGATAGATAGATAGATAGATAGATAGATAGATAGATAGATAGATAGATAGATAGATAGATAGATAGATAGATAGATAGAGACGCTCAAAGTCACCGAAGTTCGCCAAGAAATGCTTCGGATTTAAAAGTGGCAGATCTCACATACAGTGAGAATCGATGATATGTGAAGCACGAGCGAGAGAGGTTGATATGTCACTTTAAAATCAGCACTACGCAACAAAGTGGAGGGAAATGATGCCATATATGACTTCCGTGTCATGATTATCATGCTTGGATGTGCTGTTTGCCTTCGTCACTTCACGCCATAACAAATTTAGCTAATGTGGAGCTAGCGAAGCGGCTGCGAGCACGCTATGAGCGTGGTGGGTTGTCTTGTCGTTACATGACGCCTGTGTCAGGAATACCATGTTTGCATCAGTCATGCATTTCGTCACCCGTTGACGTCACGTAACACAAAATTTGGTATATGTGGAGCTAACAAAACGGCCACGAGCACATCATGAAAGGCCCGCTATGCTCCAATGTAGCGTTGACGTGCGCGCACGTTGGGCACAGTGACGCTACGTTAGCGAAACTCAAGCACTCTATAGTGTAACGCCAGGCGTGACCGGCACGACCAGCGTCTGTCGGCGCTGCCCGACGGAGACTGGCGCGAAATGCGACATGCTGCATTTCGCACCGATCCGTTACCCAGACAACACTGCGTCTCTCTCTTTTCTTGACAGAGGGACGCCGGCTGCGCTGGAACGCACATGCGTCAAAGCGACGCGTCGCATGCCTGCGAGTATAAGGCAGGACCCGCGCCTGGCGTGGCAACACCGGTGTGACGCGGCGAAATCAACACCGGCGAGCATGCGCACCACGTCACGTCGTAACGTATTGGCGCCTTGACTGTGGCACGTAGTCATGTTCTCACATGACATGTATACCCGGATTATCGTGTTTGCACCAGTCACATACAGTCGTAATCCATTGACGTCACGTAATACCAAACTTGGCATAGGTGAAGCTAGCGAAACGGCCGCGAACGCATCATGAGTGTGGCATGTAGTTATGTTCTTACATGACACGCATGTCGTGATTATCAGGCTCAGATGTGTCATTTACCTATGCCGTCCGTTCGTGTTGCGTAATACCGAGTTTCGTACATGTGAAGCTAGCAAAACGACCACTAGCGCATCACGAGCGTGGCATGTAGTCATGTTGTTACATGACACACTTGCCATGACATTCATGTTAGGATTTGTCGTTTGTGTTCACCATGCAATCGTGTCATACCATACCAGTTTTGAAACATGTTATGTTACCGAAAC